TTCCATCTTTGCTCTTAAAAGCTGTCTTCCATTCATCATCAGGCCTGTTTCGAATTTGATGATATCCACTACGAAGATCTATCTTTGAAAATATCTTAGAACCCGCCAATTCATCAAGCATGTCTTCTAGTCGAGGGATAAGAAATCGATACTTGATGGTTATCTTGTTAATATCTCTACTATCAACACACATTCGCCATTGGTTACCTTTCTTAGGAACAAGAAGGACTGGCACTACGCATGGGCTCATGATCTCACGAATAAACCCTTTCTTCAGCAAATCCTCAATCTGTTCCCTTAAAATCTCATTCTTCTTCGGGCTCATACGATAGTTGGGAATGTTTGGTAAGCTAGAACCTGGAATCAAGTCAATATGATGTTGAATATCTCGCATAGGAGGCAGGTCATTCGGCAATTCATTAGCATTCAACTCCTTGAAATCTTTTAGAATCTCTAACACTTCTTCTGGAGTTGTTGCTTCCTCATTCACCACACTCATTAACCCTTTAACTACCACAAGGAAGAAACATTTAGTTTCTTTGAAAGCTTCGTCTAGCTCCTTTTAGCTATGTGTCATTACCAAGAAATTGGACTTCTTTTTCCCTTCGCTTCTATCAAAATCCAAAACAGGAGCCAAAGCAATTTTATGTGTTCCCCAAGTAAATAATATCACATTATCTCGTCCTCGATATGTGATATCATTATCATATTGCCAAGGTCGACCAAACAAAACATGACAAACATCCATGTCAAGAACATCACAAATTATCTTTTCCTTGTAGTGTTTCCCAATGGAGATGGGAACTCTGCAAGTCATTGTTACTCGAACTTGTGAGCCCTTCTTTATCCACCCAAGAGGAAATGGATTTTCATGTTCTTTTGTTGGCAACTTCAGAAAATCAACCAGCTTTTGAGAAACCAAATTCTCTGTGCTTCCATTATCCACAATCACATTACACACTTTGTTTTGAATTGAGCAGTGTGTTCTAAACAAATTCTTGCGTTGTCCTTCGTCCTTAGATGACAATAAGATTCTCTGAAGCACAATGTTTATCTTCTCATGTGATTCCTCTTCAGCAAATTCAACCCCTTCATATTCATCATCCTCATTAAACTCTTGTTCTTCGTCTTCTTCTTCTCCTAGCAAAGCAACAGTTCTTCTGCTTGGACAAACATTTGATTTGTGACCCTGTCCTTGGCAACGATAACACTTATCAAGAGATGGTTTAGCATAAGGATTATTCTGTCTTTGAGCTGGTGCTTTACTCTGCTGAGTAGTGGTAGAACTACTAGCTCCTTTATTTCCCAGGGTTGGGATCTTTGCTTACAACATTCTTTTCCTTTTCGTTTGCTGCCTCGTAGTTATTCTGAGGTGTAAACCTCTTGAATGAAGAAAAACTGCGAGTTGACTTCTCCATTAGCTCAGCCTTCAAAGCTAAACTAGAAGCCTCTTGCACAGTCCATACGGTCTGTAAACCAATTCTCTCTTGTATAGAGCTTCTTAAACCACTGATGTATCTAGCCACCTTTTGATTATCTGTCTCTCCTAGATCATTGCGTTCAGAGAAACGCACAAACTCAGCTGTGTACTCTGTCACTGTTCGTTTACCTTGAACACATTCGAGATACATCTTGTAGAGAATCTGCTCATAGTCTTCTGGTAAGAACCGATCAAGCATCAACTGCTTCATTCTACGCCAAGTCTTGACTGGTCCTTTTCTTTGCCTTTGTCTTTGGATAACAAGTTTATCCCACCATACAACAGCAGTTTTCTTCAGCCTGATTGCTACCATCTTAACTTGTTTGCTCTCAGGAACACCCATCACATCGAAGAATCTATCAACATCAATCTGCCAAGTCCAGAAACTCCTCCACTCCCATAGTTCCATAGAACAATGGAATATCAGCCTTTACTCTATAATCATGATTGTTTTGTCGATTCTCTTGATCAGCTTCTTCTTCGTCCTCAAGATCTTCATCATCAGAACTAGAGATTTCGACATTAACACCACGATTGTTTCCACCATGTTGAACCCTAACTGGCTCTGCGGCACGATTGTTTATGCCCTGTTGAACCCTAATTGGTTCTCTTCCCCTATCTCTTTCCTGCGTTAACAACTTGATTGGTAAAAGCTGTTAATTGAGTCGTTAACGCCACCATCTGATTCCTCAAAGCAGTGAGGTTCGTGGTTAAAGCCTCCGAAATACCCTCAAGATCTGCTTTGGTCAACGGTTGATCTCCCATAGCTGTTCAAGCTCGAAAAAGAGATAGGAGAAAGCCTGCTCTGATACCACTTGACGCAGTCGGAAAACCCTAGGAATAGCAAGCACTAAACCTAGATTGAATTCAAGTTCACAAGCATGAACTTGAAGAGAAAACTCTGGAAATCCACCAGATTAGAGAAAAGCTCTCTGCTTTGATTAATTAGAATAATAAGATATGCCTCATGGCTACAACTTATAAGTGTTTATATAGGAAAACAAAACCCTTGAATATCCAAAACTAAAAAGGAAAAACATAATTAAAGAAAAAAAGGAAAATTAAGGAAAATCTCTTAAACATCTCCTACATTAGGTTACCTTCTGAAAAGCCATGGTTAGGGCAACTCCTTGTATACTCCTTGAATATCTCCAATGCTTCATAGAAAGACTCCATTACTGCTTGCTTAAAACCAGAAATCTTGCTCCTTATAGAGTTCGATCTTTACTTTGTGTAGAATTGTTTTAAGAAAGCTCCCCTGTATTCATTCCATGTTGTAATAGACTGCGTTGGTAAAGACTTGACCCATCTAAGTGCCTTGTCACTTAGAGAAAAAGTGAACAACTTGCACTTGAAGTAATCCACATACACTCCATTGATGCCAGTTGTGCTGCATATCTCCTCAAAGGCGTCGACATGATCAAGAGGATGTTCATTGGACAAACCATGGAAATGGTTTTGTTTCACCAAGGCAATGACCTGAAGCTTGATCTCAAAGTCTTTCCTTGATGGTAGAGGTGGTCGGATGGGATTCCGATCCATTAAGAAAGCATCGGAAGAATCAAAATCTCCCATAGTTTGGTGCCTTAGATGCTAAGCGAATTGTGCTCTCCTTGAAGGCACTTGAGGTTGAGCTTGAGGCATCCCTTGATGGTCACCTTGATGATGATGATGGTGTTGATTATTTTGGAGCACCGGAGGTTGTTGTGGTTGATTATGAGATGGCTGCGGCTGCTCGGCAGCACCGGGAGCGTTTGGATTGGGTTGAGGCGCGGCTCCAGATTCTTGTGGTATATGAGGGTTATCAGCCCTCTCTTCTTGGTCAGAAGGCTGCTGCTGCCTATTTGGTGCGCCTTCTCCGCCTTGATTCATTCTTTCTCTACTTAGTCGCCTAAGTGTCCTTTCAAGTTGGTCAATGTCACGATCTTCTTCAATTGAGTTGTTTGGATTGGACCTTCTTGTCATACACCTAAAAAACACACAAAGAGACATTTAAGATAAATTTTAAAGATTTTATGGAAAACAAAAACAAAGATGCAAAGAAATTAAATGAACTAGTCTTGAAATCAATCAAGAGGTGTGAAGGAATAGCTACTACTCCCCTGCAGCGGTGCCAAAAAGCTTGATGTGCTTTGGGATTGCCCCAAGTTTTCACAATTTTTAACCCAACCAAATGAGCTGCAAGTGCACAGACGTGTTGTAGTCGGGGTCGAGAACAAGGAGGAATTGTTCTCTCTTAACACCTTTAGAGGTTGAAAATGAGCTAGTTCGCAATATGAGTGAGATGGGAGCCTAAAATAGGAAAGATACAAAGACAAACTGTAAGTAAGGTTGTAAACAATTTAAAACAAAAATTAGGGAAAGGAAAATCATATGGAGCAAGTGATGAAAATATAGTTGCATGGGATAAGTGTAAAGCCGTCTTGAACATGAATCACTAGTGTATAGTCTTTCCACTGTCGTGGCTCCAACCATATGTTTCAAACAACCTAATATACTCAGCTTTCGTTGGCTATTAGTATTGCAAACATGCATTAAAGGTGATCAAGATTCAATTGTTCACAATGGTCCATAACTCAGCTTTCGTTGGCGATGACCCATTGCTCACCAAATACTAGTTTGGAGATTTAGATTCGGCACTGTCATGGTTTTATCTCTCTAAGATCAGATGATTAGATTTACGGTAAAGTAATCATGCATTAAGTTCAAGTAAAGGTGAAGATCCATAAGATAAAATCCCAACAATATTGCAACACAATCAAATCATCATAGCATCCATAGATCTCCCCGGCCTAACCGAGAGATCTACTCGGCCATGATGCAAACAAGCAAGAAAACATGATTGAAAAATTACGTTTATAAGAGCTTATGATCATAACTGTTTGCAGGTACGAAGCATAAAACCAAATATTTATGTGGTTTTCTTAGTTTGGGAATCACATTTGAATCATTCAAAATTCTGGGGTGATTGGTCTTTTTGAGAAACAATCAAGAATTTATTATGGGATTATGTGGATGAAGTCTTTAGGGAGAACAATTATCTTATAGAGACTCTGGTTACTTTATTGGTATAGATCAGGAGGTAGAAAAACAAATGATCAATATACCACTATTGTTGAGGCTTCTCTTTTGAATTTTTGAAGACGGAGAACAACTTTTGGAGGATACTTTTTGTTCAAAGTTGTGATATTCATATGTACATGTTATATTTGATGCTTACTATACACACCATAAATCCAATTCTGACAACAACAAGCACATGTCCGCTAAGATCTGAAAGCTGTTAGGACATGAGTGACATGCTAAATTTGGTGCAGGATCTAATGATCTGGTAAGCTTTGGATCATTTATGTGAGATTCTTAGATTGAATCATAGAAATTTGAATGACATAATCTGTTGAATTATTCACACATTTTGATTTAGGAAAACAAAGGCCGACACTATTCTTGACTGTGCTCCTTTTGGGCTTTCGCAAAAAACACACTCCCGGTGAGTAAATCTTTTTTTCTGAAAAATGAAATGTTCTTGTCGGTCTGTTACATATGCAAATTTTTTGTATTGAACCATTGCTGAATCATTTCAGTATAGTGTAACTGAAGTATAATCCTATTTTAGAGTGGACTTAAAGAAAAGCGAAAATGACAAATCTTGGTTCACAAGAAGAACACTCAAAAGGTTTTAAACAACGTTTTGCTTTTCCCTCTTTACCCAAAAAATTGAAGTAGCTTAATTAAATGTTGCTTGGATTTTTTTCGAGAGATTTGTTCACTTGGTTTATTGTCCAGAATTTTTCTAAATAGTCAACATGTTTGATTTTGAGAAGTCACAGTTAGAAGCAGTTCAGACATTGTATAGTCTCGTCTGTTAAATTTCTTCTTCGTTTCATCAAACATTTAAGTTTAAGACCAAACGTCATCTATTTTTTCCCCCATTCTTAGACGATGGAGGCGTAACCGATGCAACAAAGTAGTAAAGATCTTTCTGCTTTTATATTGAGCAAATACTCAAACTGCATGTTGAAAAAGTGTATTCATGATTGCTTTTCTTTGTCAATAATCAGGAAGGAGCCAATTAAAAAGAACTTAACCATATCCATTTCTTACGAATCAAAACTAATGATTTTGACCCTTTAATCCGTTGGGTGTGGTTACAATTATAACATTCATACGATTTTCTGTTACAATTATACATTATTCAAATTAAGAGGAAACTTAAATTTAAAGTAATAACAAACAATCACATATAGCATTTAGTGTACACAAAATAAATAAAAAATATAAATACCAACACAAACATTTTTTTGCAACTCATCATGCAAAGTGCGAACAACACAAAACACAAGCTGCACAAGAACATCATGGCGATTTGTCTTATATTTCTCGACAAACTTAGGAACTCGGAAAACATCAATACTTTTGATTTATAGTCATGCAAATCGATTATCCTACAAAATAAGATGTCCTTATTGTAGAAGAAAGTTTTTTTAACATGTCCATATTGTAGAATAAAAAAAATTGTATACATTGGTTATAAAAAAAAAACATGTTTGTTAGTTGATAAGGTTTACCCAATTTTCTTTAACGAATGAGAATCATGATCAATTTATTAAATCCTGTTTGGTAAATCCTTTAACTAAGTATTTCAAATCCTTTTGATCAATTTTCTATGCTATATAATATTTAATTAAATCATATCAAAATGAAATATGGTTACAAATAGTAAGGCAGCTAAACAAAATAAACAAAGAAAACACAATATTCACTCAAGCATCCTTTATATACTAAAGCACAAGTCACTCGTCCAATGGCAGAGTGACATGTGTCAAGTTTAAAGAAAACAAACGCTAATCGAATCCACGTCACTAGCCTTTACAAATTAGAGCAAATTGTTATCACTAATTTGGAGATTAGGCAATGTGTAAAGCCCATCATTTATATTAAGCCCAAAAACACAAATAATATAAAAGAATAATTATATAATCACGTTTTATATTTTGTCTTCCACGGTTTAGAGGAAAAAGTTCGTTCCTAGCTCCCCACTCTCTGATCGTGGACCTCGAAACCATGAACTTAAATTCATTTTCCGTTATCAATTTCACTCAATTCCCATATTTTTTCGTCTTTCTCGATCTTTCATCATATCCAGTTCATCTGTTTTTGTTTCTGTTGTATTTCTCCGTTTCGAAGTTCAAATCATTACGATTTATCTTCAAATTCTCTTTTCCTCTCTGGGATTCTGATGTCCCGAAGTTGAGATTTTCATCCACAAGATAAATCAGATTTAATACTCGTGGATGAAAAGTAATCACTATTTGTTAAAATCAGATTAACAAGTGTTTTTAAAGATTCAGACATATAAGTTAGTTATACTCTGTTTTTTCTTACAGGGAGACAGTATCTAAGCTTATGTCAAAACAAAATTGGTTAAGAAATTCAAAAACCAATTGAAGGAAGGTGAATGTCAAGATATCATGAATTTCGAGGTTTTGGAGAACAATGGAGATTACAGGGGAACCACCCACCCTTACAAGATAAGTTTCTTATGTAAGCATACTTTTACATGAACCCTAAGACCTTCAAACATCCAGAGTAATCACATAATAGAATCATAAAGAGTTTATAGATGACTTACCTCCAGCCATTGTAGAGAAGAGATGGAGGTATTGAATCTGAGATAGGTGATTAGGTTTCTCTCCCCTTGCCTATGAACTTTATGTGTCTTAACTTTAGGATGCCTTTACAATGGACTAAAGGAATATATTTATAGGTGGAGAGAGGACCTAATTCCTCTTTAGGGTTTCTTTAAATTTAATCTCAACCGTCCATCAAAGTAGAGATTATTAGGAAATACTCATTTATATTTAAGTTAATTAAATACCAAATATGTTATGAAATAGCAATAGCCCAATAGAAAAACGGATTAATATAAGACCATATAATAGGAAGATAAATTATCTTACAGTCTCCCACTTGGTCGTTATAAATATCCATTAATGTTTTCTTATTGGAATCATAAGGCCGGCATAAGATGCTAAACCCTTTTATTTGGTCATCATAAGTGTCTTGACTAATCTAGTAATCAATGGGAGTCATGGCGGTTGCATATCATTCTCCAACATGATCCCTTCCATGTACTACTACATTGATTACCTTCATAGCTAGACCATAAGTAGGAGTTATCATAATGGTCCCTTTATGTCTTAATGAAAGACGAATTCTGTTATCATAAATCCAAAACAATAATGTGTGCACAATGGAGACAGAATAAATAAAAGATGTAAGAGTCATAAAAGATCTCAAATAAATGTCAAATATAGGCTAACATAAAAGCAGACAACATAATTTAGAGCTGTCTTCAAGACCCATACTTTCAGCATGCTTTATAAGGTCTTTGAAGGCAAAGCTTTCGTAAATATGTCTGCAACCATAAGATCAGTGCCTATGTGTTCAATGACAAACTTTCCTCTCTTGACATCTTGCTTTAGTGATAGATATTTAAGGTCATGTGTTTGGCACCTTTGGATATCCTATTATACTTGGAAAAGAAGATGGCAACTTGATTGTCACAGTAAAAAGTTAAAGGCTTCTCAACAAAATTCAAAGCCCCAAACTCAGACACGAAATTCTTCAACCAAGTTCCTTGAATAGAAGCCTCATAAAATGCTGATAAGAACCCAAACCCTAAATCCTCTTCTTTATTAGAATAACACCAATTACAATAGATAGATAGATAGATAGAAAACACTAGATAGATAGATAGATAGAAAGCACTCAAGATCTCATAGCGATCTCATTTAAGCACTCTCAAGATCTCATAGCAATCTTGTTGACAGACTCATAGCGTCTAGGTCAAATCACAACTAGAATATTCAGCATAACTAGGTAAAGCATAAACTAATCTACATATAATAAAGCAATAGCAAAGACTTTCCTTTTCTTCAAGAGCTTCCCAATCTGACTTCTTCCTTTTCTCTGTTAGCAAGACGGTTTGAACATTCCCTTTTTCTGTATTTCTTTTCTTCTTTTTCCTTGTGTAAACTCTTAAGGACATATCAATACCCCCCTTTCGAAGACCCAGCTTGTCCTCAAGGGGCAATGATAATGCTCCAACTTGGAAAATCTGATCAGCTTTAGCTAGAATCACAAAGTGATCCTCTGGTCAAGTTAAAGCTTCTCCTTGAATCAGACTAACCCAATCAACTAGTCCTGGAAACATACAAACAATCACTGCCCCATGTTGATGCAAGAAAGAGAGTTGAAGTAGTCTTATAATTAGCAGTTTTGTGTCTTTCCCACCAATAGAACAATAAGATCTCATCATAATAAACTGCAGAAAACTAGGAATGTGACTTCCTTTTGTTCTCCACTGTCCCAGAATACTTTGAATCTTTGAATCCTTCTTTTCACGTTCCAAGTTGTACCCAACTTGTTGTGTAGTAGCTGTCTTGTCTCTTTGCCTTGTACGTCCTTTATACTTAAATTTCCATGTCTTTGGAATTTTTTTCTGCATACCTTGTTGTGTCTCTCTTTGTAACAGCATCAGCAGCAGGTTTTCGAATGATTTGTATGGGCAAGGTTTGGTCGGTATACATGATGATTGTAGTGCCAATTCCAGCTCGTTTTTCACTGGTAACATGTATACTTCTTGAGGCAGATCATCACTGACAAAATTAGAGTGCATATAATCCAAAAAATATCCAAATTGTGATGGCAATCCATCCATTAATTCCTTTCTCTGCATCAGTTTTGTCTCTGTTCTTGATTCTTCCTCTTGACTAATCCCTGGAATTAATTGCTTTGTCATCAGCACTACTGGTGGAGAGCAACTCATGACCGGTGCAAATCGAACAAGAAATATGTTCCTAAATTGTGACCAGTTAGAGATTGGTGCTTTCTCCATCTCTCCGTAAAACCAATTCAACACTGATCCCTCTAGATGCAGAGCAACCAATGCCAACTTTTCTTTCTCTGCATAGTGACCTAATTGAAAAAATCTTTCTACTCTAGAGATCCAACCATACGGCAAACGACCATCAAACACAGGCATCTCCACGTTTTTTAACATACTTTCTTGATTCTCAATAGCACCAAATATTCTCCGATAACCTATCCATCTAGTAGTTCCATCAGTCACAGGAAGAGCACTAGGTACCTGAGGTAGAGAAAGTGATGACAAAGAGATTCCTTTGTCTTGACCACAATCTGAGAAAGAAATAGCTTCGATGCGTGAAAGAGTTTCAGCAATTGATGTCATCTGTTTCTCCAAAACGCCAAGTCGCGACGACATGCTCTCGCAGCCAGCCTTGATTGAGGCGACTTCGCCATGCAATTTTCCCAAGGAGCCACCAAGTTGTGTAATCCGTTCTTCGCACACCGCACACCTTAACCGTCATTATTGCTACAAATCTTAAGCTCTAATGGCGTATCTGTTCGAACCACGCTCACCGCACCAATTTGATAAGAACCCAAACCCTAAATCCTCTTCTTTATTAGAATAACACCAATTACAATAGATAGATAGATAGAAAGAACTAGATAGATGGATAGAAAGCACTCAAGATCTCATAGCGATCTCATTCAAGCACTCTCAAGATCTCATAGCGATCTTGTTGACAAACCCATAGCGTCTAGGTCAAATCACAACTAGAATATTCAGCATAACTAGGTAAAGCATAAACTAATATATATGTAATAAAGCAATAGCAAAGACTTTCCTTTCCTTCAAGAGCTTCCCAATCCGACTTCTTCCTTTTCTCTGTGAGCAAGTCGGTTTGAACATTCCCTTTTTCTGTATTCGTTTTCTTCTTTCTCCTTGTGTAAACTCTTAAGGACTTATCACATGCTACATACTCAGCTTCGATAGTGGATGTGTAAATCAACTGCGACTTTCTGGCTTTTCCATTAGATGGCACCTCCGTCAAGGAGATACACATAGCCAAGAGTGCAATGCCTAATGTCATGGCATCCACCAAAATCTGAGTCTGAAAAACAAACCGTCTGTTGATGTGTTGATCTCCTATACGTCAGCATATGATTTCTTGTCCCCCTTTAAGTATCTCATTCATAAATCAAAATCATTGCTAGCCAATCATCATCATACAATACCTTATATATGAACATACTCCCACTGATCATGAGATACATACAATGATCTACAATGTTTTCTTTTTGAAACCAAATTTATAAGGGTTTCATTAAACTTTTTAATATCATTATCTCGAAGGTTGTATCTGTCCATAAATTGATTTCTTAAGTTTGCAGACTATGTCTTCCTGACCTTCGATTATGAAGCCTTCAGGTTGACACATATAGACTTCTTCTTCTAAGTCTCCATTAAGAAAAGCGGTTTTCATATCCATTTGATGTAACTCCAGATCATACTGAGCTACTAATGCCAAGATAATTCTGAGAGAGTCTTTTCTTGACACAGGTGAAAAGGTCTCACAATAATCAATGCCTTTTTTCTGATTAAACCTTTTGGCTACAATTCTGGCTTTATATCGTTCAACAATGCCTTTACAGTCGAGTTTGGTCTTAAAGATCCACTTACACCCAACTGCTTTGTGTCCTTCAGGCAATGGAACAATGTCCCAAACTTCATTGTTAACCATTGAGTCTATTTCATCATTATTGGCATCAATCCATTTATCAGAACTAACATCTATCATGGCTTGTGAATAATAAATCGGGTCTTTAATGCTCCCTCCCCCAGATTCTATGAGATAAGGCATGTAGTCATCAGAAATAGCAGATCTCCTCTCACGAGTTGATCTTCTTAATGCTGGTTCCTCTTGTACTACAAGTTCATTACTAGCGATGTTTTCATCATGGAGTGGTTGATCATTCACTGGGTTATCTTCATTGTTAAGTGGTTCAACAACAAGAGAATTCCCAACATTAGGAGTTAAGAGTAAAGGGATATTTACCCTAATTTCCTGAATGATCACATTTTAAACTTTATCACTACCACTAACCTCGCCATTCTCATGGAATCTGGCATTTCCGGTTTCCACAATTCTTGTACTATGGTTTGGACAGTAAATCCTAAATCCTTTTGACTTCTCAGGGTAACCAATAAAGAAACCACTAATTGTTTTGGAGTCTAATTTCTTTTCATGTGGATTGTATATTCTTGCTTCAGCTGGACATCCCAAATTTGGAGGTATTTCAGACTAGGTTTCCAGCCTTTCCACAGTTCAAAAGGAGTCTTAGGAACTGCTTTGCTAGGAACCATGTTCAAGATATAGACTGCAATACGTAATGCGTCCATCCACAAAGATTTAGGTAAGTTAGCATGACTCATCATAGATATAACCATTTCCAAATAAGTACGATTCCACCTTTCAGCTATACCATTCTGCCATGGAGAACCAGGCGTTGTGTACTGTACAGCAATTCATAATTTCTGGAGAAGTGATGGCGGGTTTAGATTGCCTCAAATTTTCACAATTCATAAACCCAACTAGTTGAGCTGCAAGTGCACAGCCGCGTTGTAGTCGGGGTCGAACACAAGGAGGAAGTGTTCTCGCTTAACACCTTGTGAGATTGGTTTGTAGCTAGCTCGTGATATTGGATGGTTTTGGTCCTAGAATAAGAAAGCAAAACAAAGGAAATATGAGTGAGGTTGTAAACAATTTAAAACAAGAGTTAGGCAAAGGACGATCATATGGAGCAATGATGAAAAGATAGTTGCATGGGATTTGTGTAGAGCCGTCTTGAACATGAATCACTAGTGTATGGTCTTCCCACTGTCGTGGCTCCAACCACTATGTTTAAAAAATCCTAATATACTCAGCTTTCGTTGGCTATTAGTATTGAAAACATGCATTAAAGATGATCAAGATTCAATTGTTCACAATGAACCATAACTCAACTTTTGTTGGCTATGACCCATTGATGATAGGATTTTATGTGGATGTGATATGAAATGAGGTGGAATGCAAACAGGGGTGAATAAAGATGAATGGTATGGTGCAATCACAATCAATCAATTCCTCTTAACCATCATAGTCATTGAAGTATAAGAGGTTATCAATCCAAAATGGGAAACTTGTCACTCTTTGAGAATATGAAACAACCAGAAAGTCAAGCAAGCAGTTAAGATTTGAAGTAACACTAACAACCTAAAAAAATGAAAAGCAGTGCAATAAAAGTAAACAAAGCAGTGAAGTGTCAGCTCGACCAAGAGCTCGAGTCGAGTAGAGCAAAGTACCAGCTCGATCGAGTTTAGGGACGAGTTGAGACAAACAAAGCTAAAGGTGACGACTTTAACAAGATAAAGAGAGAATTAGGGTTCAAGACAGGGTTTTGCAATCAAAGGAATCTACACTTAATCAATCTAGCTCTTAAAACTCCTTGTATCAAGGCTTCTCTTGATATTGGGCTTCTCAATGCCTAGCCAACCCTTTCCCAAGGTGGAGGCTATCAACCAAGGAATGATCTCAGAAACAGGGGGTTAGCCAGTGAGAATCAAACCTTGGAGGCTATAGGATCATTGCCCAAACTAATCCATCCAACCCCTTAGACCTCTATTGTCTAGAGCAAGAGATATTGGAGCTCTTAGTGGATCTTTTCCAGCGAATGCCATCACTTTCGTGTGGGGAGTCGCCTAAGGACTTACAAGCCAGGGGTAGTGGTCATGTAGCCTTAAGATCTATCCAAAAGAGAGAGAATCTAGATTAAGACCATAAGCTAGAAGGATTAAGCATATGAAACCTCTAATCTATCCCATCTCAAACCCTAATGGGTAACTACTCACTACACATGAATGTAAACACAAGCAAATGCAATAAAAGAGACATCATAAGAAAGAGGAGATGAAATTAAACAACTTTTATTGAAATAAGCAAGTGCAAATACAAGAGAGATTATCCAGGATCTAGGATTCAAGAAGCAAGAGCTTCAAGAACACAAAGATGGATTAGATCTCTAAAAAGTAAAGGTACAATAAAGTAAAACTTAGGGAGCTAAAACTATGCAAAAGATGCATAAAAGATGTGCTAAAACTATGTAAAATGCAAGTACATCACCCATTGCTCACCAAATACTAAGTTCGAGATCTAGATTCAGCACTGTCGTGGTTCTATTTCTCTAAAATCAGATTACTAGATGTACGGTAGAGTAATCATGCATTAAGTTCAAGTAAGGTGAAGATCCATAAGATAAATCCCAATAAGTTGCAATAAAATCAAATCATCACGGCCACCATAGATCTCCTCGGCCTAACTAAGAGATCTACTCGGCCATGATGCAAACAAGCAAGCAAAGCATGATTGAAAGCATTATGCAAGTATTGAAAGAGATAAAGGGATGAAGAAAGCTTCTCTATTGATGAACAAAGTCGGATTCTCCCTTGAAACTCTTAAGATCAAGTACAAAGAAATGGAAACAATGAAAACAAGAAGGAACAAGAGTTGAGTGGCGCCTTCTTCTTTTGTGGAGACCAAGTACCCACACGATGACACCATGAGAGATCTTGGGATCTTTGAGGATGTGGAGTTGGTGCTCAAGAACATGCAATTGGAAGTTCTTCTCTCACCGCATGGAGTCTTACAAGGAGTTCACTTGTGAGTTTTTGGCGTCGATGAAGCATCACGAGTTTGATGAGCTCGATCGAGCTGAGTTGGACCAAGGCTGGGGGATAACTTTCTTAGCAAAGGGAGAGAAGAAGATGGTGACCTTTAGGCAGCTTGAGATACTGTTTGGGTTCACTATGGAGAAGGTAACCTATGGAACATCAAGGAAAATGAACTCCAAAGAGTTGGGCTACAATAGCTGAAGAGGGGTACTCTTCCTCAAGGTCCAAGGCTGCTCAGATCAGAAGTCCTGTGCTTAGATATGTCCACAAGGCTCTTGCCAACACCTTCTTTGCAAGGAAAGCCACTGGACAATCAATGAGGGAGAAGTGAAGCTCCTTGACATGGGAATCAAGCCTATCATCTCACGCACAAGGATGGGAAGAAGATCAGAGGAGATAGGGCACACGCAGGGAATCTCATGCCTCTCCTTGAGCAGCTCCAAGCCTACAAGTCACACTTACAACACTAGGCACCAAAGAGGAAGAAAGCTTAGTGTTGGAGGGGTGATCACACCAATTCTTTGTGCAGCAGGAGTCAAGTGGACAAGAGAAGGTCTACTCCACCAGGTTGGATGGACATCAAGTTTTGCAAGACCAACCTCTCATTGAGCACAAGGAGTTGGATGGGAGATTCCAATTCAAGTTCACCCATCCATTGGCTGGACCCTCCAAGCTTCTTCTGCCCAACCCTGAGCTCACCACGGTCTAGGAGGTACAAACATTGACTTCAGACCCCCTGTGTACACTTAGTTGGGCATGAAGGGATTTGCAAGAAGAAGAGATCGAGCTCGATCGAGCTGAGGATCGAGCTGAGACTCAAGCTGAAGATGGAGTGCAGGAACGCTGACTTGGGTGAGCCTGAGTGCTACTACTTTGAGGAGTATGAGGCTCCAAGGATGAACCCCTCTGTTGTGGCTGCCCACAAGAGGATTGGACTTCTCCAAAAGTTCAACAAGTGGCAAGGGAAAGCCATGGAAAGATGCAAAAGTCCATGGACAAGATGGTGAGCAAGATCAAGAGCTTGGAGAAGAAAGTTTCTGGTTCTTCAAGCAAGAAGAAGAAGTCCAAGGCCCCACTTTCCCTAGGAGTAGTCACTCCTCACCACTCAAGGAGGCTCTCCCCAAGAGCCTCACAGAGCCTCTTCTTTCGAGCCAAGGGAAGGAGAGACAACACGCAGAGAAGGAGGAAGACTTCCAAGGCCAGACGCTCCAGCTCGACCACCGGACTCGATCGAGTCCAAACAGAGGAAACTCAACTCGATCGAGCTGAGGGTCGAGTTGACCTGGAGGAGCCCCTGTTTGAGAATCCTGGATTCGAGTACGATCAACGCAGTACCAGGACTTCTCCCAGACCACTGGACCCCTACAACAGCTTCGAGCAAGCACAGCTCCACCAAGGCCAAGGAAGCCACACACATTTGACGATGAAGAAGAGGAGGAAGAGGAGCCGCAAGCTCGATCGAGTGAGCACGAGGCAACCCAGTTGCATGGAGCGTCCTGATGGCCGTCTCCCATCTCCAGACCACGACCTAGCCTCCCAGTTCTTTGGGGGGCACTGAGGTATCCAAACACCAACCCTTGTATATACCATTTCATATTTTCTTGCATTTGTTCTTGTTTTTTCTTGGTTTTGCCCTCTTGAATCTTTCACTAAATTTTTCTCACACAAGGGACTGTGTGATTTAAGTTTGGGGGAGGGTTCAAGAGATGATTTAACCTTGTTTTCTTTGTTCTTAGTTTTTCATTTATCTTTTGCATAGAAAAACCAAAAAAATCATAAAATTTTCAAAAAATCCAAAAATATTTTCATCTTTTTGCATTCATATTTGTTAGACTTGTTTAGGATTGCATTTTTCACTTGCATTGTTGATTTGACTTTGAAAACTTGTCCATCTTTTGCGATTTCTTGAGTGCCCTGTTTTTAGATTCTTTTGTGCATTAGGGTGAGATTGATTGAGCAGCAAGAACCATGTTTATCTTGATCATATCACTGCATGCACATCTCATTCAACCATTGCTGTGATTTGATGCATTTCCCTATCTATTTGAACCATAACTTGATCTTTAATTACCAATGCTTGCATTTGATTTCAACTCATGGCTACCACATACATATCTGGACATTCTTTACCTATTTTCATATCCCTTTGCTTGTCCAGATAGCTGATCTCTATCTTTGAGACAGTTACCACACCTTAAACCTAAGCCTTTTCATTTCAAACCCCATATTATCTCTTGTGCGAATGTGAGAACCTTTCTTGGCTTTGCTTAGCATAAGGTGTTGTGTTTAAACCGGCAGGGGCAGTAGTTCTAGTTGTCTAGTTCTCTTGGGATTGTTTTCAGGCTAAGTTTGGGGGTGCCAACTCGAGCTCGATCGAGTTGGGTGTAAAAACCAGAAAAGTGGTAAAAGTTGGGAAAAACCCAAAGGAAAAAGAGTTTAGTTAAGTCCAGGGAGTTGGCAGTGTTAAAAAGGGTCTAGTAAAGGTTTGGGAAGTTAAAAAAGGAAGTAAAAAGGGTTCTAAGTAGAATGAAAAGAAGGCAAAGCCTCAAGTGTCAAAAAGGAAAGAAAAGTTCCCTAAGTGTTTAGAAAATCCCAAACCGCTAGATGTTACCTCAAGAAGCCTCTCCCTAGGAAGTTCTTAAAAGAAAAGTGAGCAAAGCTCCTCAGTTTCAAAGGCGAAATGCCAAAAAGGGTAGTTAGGATTTTGTTCTAAAAAGCTCTAAGTGTTGAACTCGATCGAGTTAGGATTAGGCGGCTCGAGCTGCTGTTCTTGCATCATCTTTGGTTCTAACACTTAGCCTTCTGCCAAAGCAAAGCCACTTTCTTGAGAGATCCCTGTTACTAAACCACCATACAAAAGAGACCCTCTTTGTCTCTTAACCCATAAACCCTTGAAACCAAATGAGTTGATTGATCTTGCATGTTTTTGGTTCACTGTTTTTGCTTAATGAATGTTAAAGGGATTTGCTGATTTGAATGCATTGTTTGAGTGACTGTGAAGTGGGATTGATGTTGATAAGCATGGTTAAATCTTAATGAATATCTCTCACCTTGTTGCATTCTAGAATCTCTAAGTTGGACATTTAGCAAATCGCTTTTGAGGACATGTTTTTAAGTGTTGAATCAGCTGTTTTCAAACCTCATCTCTTTCTTGTTCTATTTGTTTGCTTGAGGGCAAGCAAAGTTCAAGTTTGGGGGTGTTGATGTACTTGCATTTTACATAGTTTTAGCACATCTTTTATGCATCTTTTGCATAGTTTTAGCTTCCATTTGCATCATATCTTGTTCCTTTTCTCTTCTTATGCATTCATGTTAGTTTTAGGTTGCATTTGCATACATATGCATGTTTGGTCCTTTGAAATAGGTCTTTTGGAGCATTCTGGAGCATATGGGACAAGGAGCATGGAGGGACTTGGCACATGGAAGCAGCTCAACTGGATACGCAAAGGAAGAAGGGAGAAGCCATCTTGAAGACCGCTCGACCAACCGGTCGAGTTCCTCAACTCGACCGGCCAAGCTTCAACTCGATCGAGCTGAGAAGTCAACAGTCAAACCCGAAAAATGTTGCTTCCCCCTTGACTTTCCTTTGACCCTAAACCTAATCCTCTTGTATTTAAAGGCTCTAAGCCACGAAAAAACCACCAAGCTTTAGATTATTTTGTTTTAGTTTCTTTTAATTTATTGTCTTTTACTTTTTAGAGATCTAATCCCATCTTTGTGTTCTTGAAGCTCTTGCTTCTTGAATCCTAGATCCTGGATAATCTCTTTGTATTTGCACTTGCTTATTTCAATAAAAGTTGTTTAATTTCATCTCCTCTTTCTTATGATGTCTCTTTTATTGCATTTGCTTGTGTTTACATTCATGTGTAGTGAGTAGTTACCCATTAGGGTTTGAGATGGGATAGATTAGAGGTTTCATATGCTTAATCCTTCTAGCTTATGGTCTTAATCTAGATTCTCTCTCTTTTGGATAGATCTTAAGGCTACATGACCACTACCCCTGGCTTGTAAGTCCTTAGGCGACTCCCCACACGAAAGTGATGGCATTCGCTGGAAAAGATCCACTAAGAGCTCCAATATCTCTTGCTCTAGACAATAGAGGTCTAAGGGGTTGGATGGATTAGTTTGGGCAATGATCCTATAGCCTCCAAGGTTTGATTCTCACTGGCTAACCCCCTGTTTCTGAGATCATTCCTTGGTTGATAGCCTTCACCTTGGGAAAGGGTTGGCTAGGCATTGAGAAGCCCAATATCAAGAGAAGCCTTGATACAAGGAGTTTTAAGAGCTAGATTGATTAAGTGTAGATTCCTTTGATTGCAAAACCCTGTCTTGAACCCTAATTCTCTCTTATCTTGTTAAAGTCGTCACCTTTAGCTTTGTTTGTCTCAACTCGTCCCTAAACTCGATCGAGCTGGTACTTTGCTCTGACTCGACTCGAGCTCTTGGTCGAGCTGTACTTCACTGCTTTGTTTACTTTTATTGCACTGCTTTTCATTTATTTAGGTTGTTAGTGTTACTTCAAATCTATAACTGCTTGCTTGACTTCCTGGTTGTTTCATATTCTCAAGAGTTTTCCCATTTTGGATTGATAACCCTTTGTACTACACAACTATCATGGTTAAAGGGAATTGTTGACTGTGTTTGTGTTTGCATCTTACCACCTCATCATATACCACTGATTGCATTCCACATCTCATTTCATATCTTTTCACATCCACACACAAATCCTATCATCAGATGTTCACATTGGCTCCTGTGTCACACAAAGATTGCTCAAGAATGTTACCTTTGATGATACAAGGCACAGCAAACTTTCCTGAGTTATCAGTCTTGGGGATGATCTTTGGAAAAAGTCTTCTCTTTCTAGCTCGATTGGACTCTCTCTCTGGGTAAATCTCTTCAGGCCAAATCATGTAATCAACAGTAGGTTTTGAAAGCATCCATTCTGGGACTTGATCTTCAAATCTTTCTTCTATGGCGGCTGAGTTGCAAAAGGACTTCTTGGATTCAGCTTCCTGTCTCTTAACAGCTTCCATAGTTTGGGTGACTTAAGTCTCTAGTTTCTTCACATGAGTGGCAACAGCATCATACTTGGTATTGAGATTGCTGAACAAAGTGTCCATCTTCTCATAGCTTGGATTGAGGATTCTCTACATTGGGGTTTCTATAAGACATGTTGGGGTTTGGGCGATAGCTTGGATTGTATCCCTTGTTCCCATAGTTTCCAATGTAGTTCACATCTTCTTCATTGGCTTCATTAGAGAAATCTCCCATGCATTCTCTTGATGGGTCTTCATTAGCATCACTCATCCCTTCTATTGCATTGATATGCTTGAGCTGTCCCTTAAGAACTTGAGCCATCATGTTCTTGAGTTCAGTCATTTGAAAAGAATCAGGGGAGCTAGTAGTGGTGCGGCTTGAGCGGTCATAATCAGGACAATTGTTACAATCACTAGCTGCAAGATTCTCAATAAGAACCTTAGCTTCATCAACTGTCTTGGTCATGAAGTTTCCATTGCTTGCAGTGTCCAATGAAAGCTTGTACTTGTGGTCTATGCCACGATAGAAGATGTTCCATAGGTTTCCTCCTTGAAACCATGATTAGGGCAGTCCCTAATGTACTCCTTGAATCGGTCTAGTGCTCATAGAAAGATTCATTGTTGGCTTGGCGAAAGTTGGAGATCTTGTTCCTACAGAAACTGATCTTTGCTTGGTGTAGAAGTGGTTGATGAAAGCGGCCTTGTACTCATCCCAAGTGGTAATGGAGTGAGCTGGCAGAGACTTCAACCATCTTGAAGCTTTGTCGCCAAGAGAGAATGAAAAGAGCTTGCACTTCAAGTAGTCAGCTGAGACTCCATTGGATCTAGTAGTGCTGCAATCTCTTCAAAGTTTTCTATGTGATCAAGAGGATGCTCGGCTGGAAGGCCATTGAATTGGTTCTGTCTAACCAATGCTATGATCTGAGGCTTGATCTCATAGTCATTCCTTGCAGGAAGTGGTGGATGGATAGGGTTTCTATCCGTGAAGAAAGCATCGGCAGAGTCATAATCTCCGATTGTTTGGATGCCTGCTTGAGGTTGCACATTCACATCTCCAGCAGGATCTTGTGGATTAGGAGGAGGAGGAGGTGGATCTCGTCCTTCTTCATTAGCGCGCGCCACTTCAGCGGCGTGAGCGCGAGCTGCTTCGTCGGCCATCTCTTGGGCTTTTTGCTTCCTAATTAACTTCTCGAGCTTGTCTATATCTGGATGTTCAACTAGGTTGTCTTTGTTGGACCTCCTAGTCATGCACCTGAAAAGAATCTAGGAAACAAACTAAATCAAAAGGGAAAAACAAATGCAAAAGCAAAAATCAAAGAAAAGAAATCAAAAACTGAAAATTCAAAAGCAAAAGCAAGTAAAACAGGGAAAGGTTCTAGACTAGATCCTAGTCGAGCCTCAAAGGTACTGCTGCAGTCCCCGGCAACGGCGCCAAAAACTTGATGTTGAGTCAGGTTTTACCAAACTCTTAGACCTCTGCAAGTGCACAGATCGCGGAAGTATTGATAAACTAGAAATAGATCATTTTCTCTACTGCAAATTAACAGTGATGAAATTGTAATATAAAGGATTCGAAATCCACAGGACCAGCGTTACACTATGAATCTAGGAGATTCAAAACAGAGCTAAGACAGAATTGATTGATTTGGTAACAAGTGACGGATTGTAAACGTTGATGTAAACTTAATAAAACAAGCACTAGACCAAGGCAATTCGCAGGAGATTCACGGTTAACAACCAAACAACTATTCATGGCACAGATAAAGAACAGGTCTCGAACTCAAACAGAACAATATGTCAATTCACTGTCGTGATAATAACAACTTTGTCTAACAACCTAGATGTCTAAACTGTCGTTTGAATCTAGCAATTGATGACAAGCAATGCGCACAGGTTCGATATGTTCACGAATCGCCTTAGCATCAACTTTCGCAGGCTAAGGACGATTCGCTCCCCACAGTTCGTTCTAACAACTTATTTCACTTTTGATGAACAGGTAAATATGAGATCAGAGATCGAGTGATCAGATCGATCTAAGCAGTAAGTTTAACAGTGGTGAAGACAGTATGAAAGCCCTATCTGTATTCAGTCTAGTTAACACATGAATCCCTTTGAAAAACCTAGATCTAGCAAGGTGACTACTCAGACATGGTGAAACAGCAAACAAATACTGAATTGAATGTCATTGAATCAAAATACGAAAATAGCAAAACAAGGGTTCAGAAATCTTCTCCAAACTGTGAAAACAGCAGTTCGATCTCGTGTCAAAGGCTCGTAAATGTTACCGTGTATTCGTGCTTCTCCAAGGAACGACCATCAGTTCGATCGATTCAGGCTCCATACTCCACCATCACTTCCCATTCTCAGTGTTATAGATGAACACTCGTCTTGAATGTGGTTGGGAAGCTGTGTCGAACCTTTCTCTCCGACGTTTTTGCACATATCTGCATATATGACACAAAAGAACAGAGTGCATGAAGTCAGAAAGGAGGTAAGGCTCAAGGTGGGGTACCAACCAAAAATGGGCTGGCCACTCAGGATCAACAGAGAGTGGTAAAATGAATAAGAAGTCCTGAGTGTATGGTCCGTTTCCCTGCTATGACATTCCGAATGAGAAGTAATTGATGTCAGATTAGTGGTCCAATAGCATTAGAGTCAACCAAATGTTTCACCAAAATCTCTGCAAAACGAAAATTCCTGGGGGAAGTCTGACCAAAAGGGTAATCCAGCTTTTTACACATAACAAACCCTGCAAAATTGGTCACTAGATAGAAAGAATTCAAGATCACAAATGGTTTCATCAGATAAGTTCATTATTCCCAACAAGTTTTTGACTCAATAAAACCTGACTCAAAGAAAACATCAAAATGACTCAAGGTGAAACAGAAAACAAAAGAAAGAAAAAGACGTTAGTAAACACAAAGACCCTCCCCCGGACTTACTTCACACCGACCCGGTGTGAAAATAAATCAAAGAGAGAGTTAAACAGACTCAATAAAAGAAAAAGAAAAGGGAAAATGGAATGATACAGTGGTGGTGATCGGTCGAGTGGAGGTGAGAAGAGCATCAGCGGCGTCCGTGAATGAGTCGTCGAGATCCTCCTGCATGCTCTCCTGCGTGTATGGAGGGATGGTGGTAGGCGCAGCTCGCTCTGTGCTGTAGGCACGTACTGGTCCGGTGGAGCCTCGTCGGCGGAGTGTGATGATCCGTCGGAGCCGTCTGTCTGGAGACAGACTGCATCGCCTGAATGGCAAGTCGGCGTCAGCTCGTGTGCCTGATGGTCTCGCAGTCTGTCGCTCTCCGTGGCGCCTCTTGCGCTGCTGACGCGGCTCGAAAGAAGAGTGACGTGGCGGGTCAGGGGGTAGTGGCCGACCGCCAGTGGTGTCGTGGTGTGGCTCGTCGTCGTCCTCGGAGAGGTCCGCCTGGCGTGGACCGACTGCGGTCCTCTGTACACCTCCTGAAGCTGAGGCAACACAACTCAGCTTGTCCTGCATGGCACGGATCTGATCGGCCATCTTCTTCACCTTGCTCTTGAGCTTGCTGGTGATCTTGTCTGCGCCTTGTTCCACCGCTGAAGAATGCTGATGTGCTGGTGAGCCGCCTTCAGTCCGGCGCTCTGTCTGGCAGTGGTGGTGTAGCCCGCGAAGTGGAGATGGTCGAGCTCGTCCGTCTGCGTGGTGTCAAGCTCTGCGTGTGACCAATCACCGCGGTGTGTGGTCGCCGGAGGTGTGGCGTAGTCTCTGACGGACGGTCGATCTCCGTGTAAAGAGCGGACTGAGGTGGGTTGAACTCGACGTTGGACCCTCCTCTGATCGTGGTCCAGCTGGGGCTGGGAAGCAACATGCGGGAAGCGCCGAGCTGAACGTGAAAACTGGTAGAGGAGCTGTCTGTCGTCTGACGTCTTCTGCAGGAAGACGCTGTTCCTCAGGTACTCGAGTCGAGCCCCTCGGGTGGTGCGACCTCCTCCTCCCAATCAGCGTGAAACCGACGCGCGTAGGAGAGGTGTGACCAAGCCGCCCATCCGTAATGTGCACTTGTGCCGGATGCCTCTGTTCCTCGACGCCCAATCCTGGTAAGAGCGGAGCTGGCTCACAAGCGCGAGCGTGATGCCTCCGTGTGATCTGCTGCCTCTGAGCTGGGTCCCGTTGATCAGTCTCAACCGGGATGCCTGTGAGTGCCACGTCGATCATGGCCATCTCGTCTCTGTGACGTTCCCGGTGGCCTGGCGCGAGAAGAGCGTGTTGGCGATCGCCTTGTGAAGTAGCGGATCGGCGGGCTCCTGATGTGAGAGGACTTCGTGGTTGAGGAGAAGTAATCCCAAACGCGATCGTCCCCCAGAGTGGCTGTTGCCCGGCGGTAGAGAGAGAGATCGGTCGATCTCACGGTATGAGAGGTAGTGCCTCCGTCCCGTAGCCCAAAAGCTAATGTATCCGTCGCTGCCGTCAGGTGTATACTTGCCGGCGTCGCAAGGATGGTCTGTGAATGCGGCGAGTAAGAGGCAAGTCGCCTTCCGATAAGACTTGTGCTGCTGGTACATGAGTCGACCGATCCCTACGTTGGTGAACATCTCGTCGACGTCCTCGGCGAAGCGGAGCGTCTGCATCGTGTCTCTGTCTGCATATCGCGTCCCGCCAAACCTCATGTCGAGGAGGCTGCGGAGACGCAGAATCTCGATCTCCGTCAGTGTATCATCGGGCTCGTCATCTCGCAGGGTCTCAGGAAAAGGAGCATCATGCATGGTCAATTCCTCCACGAAATCGTCGTCAGATACGACGGGTCTCTTCCCTCTCGCTATATCTTCACGCCGGCGTGAGTAATCACCTCTGTTCCTGAAAGTCAGAAAAGATAGAACAAGTTAGCCCAGCAATAAAATATCCAATTCGACCGACTATCAACCACGAATCGATCGACTCCCAAACGAACCAACATCAAAATCGATCGATTTCTATATAACCAAAAATGTGGTCGATCAAATTGGACATAAGCTCTAACGGCATAAAAAAATGCGGTCAATCAAGTAACGAGGTTCAAACGATCGAAACAATCACTGTCAAACTAGTTTTGTCGACTATACACAAGCAATGTAAGCATCCGATCGTGTTCGTAAGCACAACACAGTCGATCGAGTCCCAAACGAACCAACATCAAAATCGATCGAATACTATCTTAAGCTTTAGCGAACGCACTAACCCACCGTGATTAAGTTCCGTTAAGGCGCAAGAACACACAATCAAAAGACCATCTTGAATAGCGAATTATGAACCACATAAATCCCAAAAAGTAAAAGAGTTCGAGGTGTTACCTTCCACTCCTCATGATGCCAAATCGGTGCAAGGGAAAATGCAGAAATCACTCGATCGAGTGGGGTAGAGAAACTATTCGATCGAATGGATAGTGTGTTGAGCGAATCAAGGGTGTCGACCGAATTCCGTCAAAGATGGAGGTGTGTGTAGTGAACGAGAGAGGTGATGTGAGGTGGAGATGGTGAAGTGATGAGAGAGTGAAAGTGAGCGATGAGAGAAGAAGAAGAGAAAAACAGAGAGAGAGAGAGAAATGAGGTGAGAGATAAGAGATGAGAGAAGAAATGGTGAGGGAGAGGTTTCGGTGGTGAAGAAGAAGGAAAGAAAAGTTTAGGGGATAAGATATGGGGAGATAGGAACGATTGGATGAGGTGAGGTGAGAGAGAGTAAATGAGTGATCGAATTTCCACTTACCTGAAATCACTTACCTGGTGGGTCCCAGCGGTCGGCGGGCGGGTGGGTGTGTACAATGGCCGGGTCGGGCGGGTCGAGCGGGTCGACCAGATGGGTGGGTCGATCTGTGGGCGGGTCGACCCGTTTCCTAATTATTATTATTATTATTATTTTTTTTTTTCAAAACAAAGAAAACAAAATTAGCAGGAAATCAAATTGAAAACAGAGAATGTACACTTACCAGTGGGTTGCCTTCCACCAAGCGCTTGGTTTAAGTCACTAGCTTGACTTGAATGCCCATTAGGCAGGAGATGGATCACTAAGAGGAACATATTCCCTCTCTGTGATGTCGGTATCATCAAAGTTCTTGATTTCTCTGTTCGATAGTTCCCTACGATCCTGTAGGTTCATGCTCAGCAGCGAGGTAATTCGCTATCTCTCCAAACCATGGGAAACTGGACGGTCAACGGCGTTACAGCTCAAGTACGATCTCCGTCATCGCCATTCGATCGATCCTTCAGCATTCGATCGAACTCCATCATCTGCGAGCAGGGGCTCGCCGTAGTCGATCACCTCAACAGCGTAGACGTGCTCATCAGGTAGGCTGTCGTCTAGAGGGACGTCATCATCGATCTTCATCCTTGACAGGTGATCAGCTACACCATTGTCAATCCCTTTCTTATCCTTGATCTCCAGATCGAACTCCTGAAGCAAAAGAATCCATCTCAAGAGTCTCGGCTTCGCATCCTTCTTCGTCAGCAAGTACTTCAAGGCAGCGTGATCAGTATGGACAATCACCTTCGATCCAACAAGATAGGACCGAAACTTCTCAAATGCAAAGACCACCGCCAATAGTTCCTTCTCAGTCGTAGCGTACTTGCACTGAGCTTCATCAAGTGTGCGACTGGCGTAGTAGATCACGTGCAGCTTCTTCTCCTTTCTCTGGCCCAGAACCGCTCCGACAGCATAGTCACTAGCATCTGTCATCACCTCGAACGGAAGGTTCCAGTCAGGAGGTTGGACAATTGGAGCACTCACCAGAGCTCCCTTGATCGTGTGAAAGGCCTCCAAGCATGTACTGTCAAAGTCGAACTTGACCTCCTTACACAACAGCTCGTCAAAGGTCTGGTGATCTTGGAGAAGTCCTTGATGAATCGCCTGTAGAACCCTGCATGCCCCAGAAAGCTGCGGATTCCCTTGACAGAATTAGGCGGCTGTAGACTCATCATCACCTCGATCTTCGCTCTGTCACCTCGATTCCCTTCTGAAATCCTATGTCCCAGCACGATCCCATCTCTCACCATGAAGTGGCATTTCTCCCAGTTCAGCACAAGATGTCTCTCCTCACACCGCTGCAATACCCTGCACAGATTAGACAAACACACAGCAAAGGAGCTTCCATAGACGGAAAAGTCGTCCATGAAAACTTCCATTATGTCCTCAATAAGGTCAGTGAAAATAGACATCATGCAGCGCTGGAACGTCGCCGGTGCATTGCACAGTCCAAACGGCATTCTGCGATAAGCATAAGTGCCATATGGACATGTGAATGTCGTCTTCTCCTGGTCGTCTGGGTGGATGGGGATCTGAAAGAAACCTGAGTAACCATCTAAAAAGCAGTAGTATGGATGGTTAGCCAATCTCTCAAGCATTTGATCAATAAATGGGAGAGGAAAATGATCTTTGCGAGTTGCAGCATTCAGTTTGCGGTAATCAATGCACATGCGATGACCAGTGACAGTTCTAGTGGGTATCAGCTCGTTCCTATCATTCTTAACAACAGTTATACCACCTTTCTTAGGAACTACATGCACAGGACTGACCCACTTACTATCAGATATAGCATAAATTACACCAGCATCTAGAAGTTTCATTATCTCTTTCTTGACAACATCTTTTAGATTCGGGTTTAACCTCCTCTGATGTTCTACAGAAGTCATCGATTCATCTTCTAGATGTATTCTATGCATGCAAAGATCAGGAGAAATTCCAGGGATGTCATCTAGCGAATACCCTATAGCTTTTCTATACTTCCTAAGCTCACAGAGAAGCAAAGCAAGTTCAACATTGTTCAGCTCAGCATTCACTATCACAGGGTATGTAGAGTTAGGTCCCAGAAATGCATACCTGAGCCCCGCAGGGAGTGTTTTCAGCTCGAGCTTAGGTGCACTCGACTCGCTCCAAGGGCTGTTGACGGGACTCTCCTAGGTGCATTCGATCGATCTGGCACGGCTTCGATCGATCTTCCTCCTCCAAGCTCATGAACGCCACCAGTCTCTCCATCTTGCCGCTTGCATCCATCATTTCCCGAAGCCATCGGCTTCCTCATTCAGGAAATCATACTCGCCTTCAGCTTTAGTCAAAGCTACCTCCAGAGGGTCGTCAAGAAGCATCTCCTCACTCACTTCGTCCACCAAGTTTGAGCCATCTTCAATCACATAAGTTTGCCCATCTAACATTGGCTTCTTGAGGAGTTTGTTCATCTCGAACCTCATGACGATATCTCCCAGATGGAGATCAATGATTCCTCCCTTCACATCAATGATTGCACCAGCTGTGCATAGGAAGTTTCGCCCTAGTATGAGCGGATCCTTAGGCTCTTCGTCGAGCTCGAGGACTACAAAGTCTGCTGGAATGAGTGTGTTCCCTATCTGCACATGTAGATCCTCAAGTATACCGACTGGGAACTTGGTCGATCTGTCAGCGAAAACCAAGGAGACTTTCGTGGGTTTGAACTTCGTGTATCCCAATCGCTTGGCCACAGAATATGGCATCAGGTTCACGCTCGAGCCAAGATCGCAAAGAGAGCATGCGAAGGTCATGGCCTATCTGCACTGACAAGACAAATCTTCCTGGATCGCTCCTCTTCTTGATCACCTTGTTCTGCAGCACAGCGCTGCACTCCTCTGACACTAGCATGACATTCTCATCCTCAGCTACTTTCCCAGATATCAGCTCCTTCATGTACTTCTTCAGAGCAGGAATCATCTGAACAGCATCAGACAGAGGCAGCTTCACAGTCAAGTCCTTCAACATCTCCTTACACTTTGCATCCTCCAAGTCTTTTCTGGACTTCTTCCGTGGAACAGGGTAAGGCACCTTAGGTGTGTAAGCTCTGGCTGGAGCAGTCTCTGTAGCTGCAGGAGTAGGTAGGTCGGATTCAGTGGGTTGAGACGACGAGGCGTCATCACCAGCTCGATCGACTCCTGAAGCAGCTCGATCGACTTCAGTTTCATCTTCCTGGTTCTCGTCGGCTTTCTCCTTGCCTGCCCTTTTCGGAGGAATCACAGTAGGTAATAGTCTCCTCCCAGTAGGCCCACCATGTTCCGAGATGCACACAGATTAGTGTCTAAGTGTGATGTATGCCGGAGACAGGGGAACATCAGTAAGAGAAATGAGATGCCACATAACTTCATTTTGGAAGTAGAGGTTTTCGATGTGTGGGGAGTTGACTTCATGGGACCTTTCCCATCTTCCTATGGAAACCTATACATTTTTGTGGCTGTCGACTATGTATCTAAGTGGGTAGAGGCTTTGGCCAGTCCCACTAATGATGCAAAGGTCGTCCCGAAGATGTTCAAGTCAGTGATCTTCCCTCGGTTTGGTGTGCCAAGAGTTGTGATACGCCGTTTTTTAGAGTTTTTCATTGTTTCTGAGGGAGAAGATTTCGAACCTCTGTTATACAGTTTGGAGAAGATTTCTGAACCCTTTTGTTTACCGTTATTTTATTTCTATTCGATTTGATGAATTCAGTTTCAGCTATTGCTGTCAATTGTTTCATCATGTCTGAGTAGTCCTGCTAAATATAGGTTTTTCGAAGGGATTCATGTGTTGACTGAACTGAATACAGATAGGGCTATCATACTGTCTTCGCCATTGTTGAGTTTATTGCTTAGATTGAATTGATCTCTCAATCTCTGATCTTAGATTTACCTATGCATCAAAAGTGTAATAGGTTGTTAGAACGAACTCTGGTGAGCAAATCGTCTTTAGCCTGCGAAAGTTGATGCTAAGGCGATTTGTGAACATATCGAACCTGTGCGCATTGCTTGTCATCAATTACTAGATTCAAACGACAGTTTTGACATCTAGGTTGTTAGGCAAAGTTGTTAATATCGCGACAGTGAATTGACATACTGTTTTGTTTGAGTTCGAAACCTGTTATTAAATTTGTGCCATGAATAGTTGTTTGGTTGTTAACCGTGAATCTCCTGCGAATTGCTTTAGTCTAGTGCTTGTTTTATTGAGTTTACATCAATGTTTACATTTGTCACTTGTTACCCAATCAATCATTCTTGTCTTAGCTCTGTTTTGAATCTCTTAGATTTATAGTGTAACGTTGGTCCTCTGGATTTCGAATCCTTTATATTACATCTTCATCATTGTATATTTGCAGTAGAGAAAATGATCTATTTTTAGACTATCACTTTGTCTTTTGTTTTTCCTTTTATTTAGTTTGTTTCCTAGATCTTTTCAGGTGCATGACTAGGAGGTCCAACAAGGACAACCTAGTTGAACATCCAGAGATAGACAAGCTCGAGAAGTTACTTAGGAAGCAAAAAGCCCAAGAGATGGCCGACGAAGCAGCTCGCGCTCACGCCGCCTGAAGTGGCTCGAGCTAATGAAGAAGGAAGAGATCCACCTCCTCCTCCTAATCCACAAGATCCTGCTGGGGATGTCAATGTGCAACCTCAAGCCGACGTTCAAACAATCGGAGACTATGACTCTGCCGATGCTTCTTCACGGATAGAAACCCTATCCATCCACCACTTCCTGCAAGGAATGACTATGAGATCAAGCCTCAGATCATAGCATTGGTTAGACAGAACCAATTCAATGGCCTTCCAGCCGAAGCATCCTCTTGATCACATAGAAAACTTTGAAGAGATTTGCAGCACTACTAGATCCAATGGAGTCTCAGCTGACTACTTGAAGTGCAAGCTCTTTTCATTCTCTCTTGGCGACAAAGCTTCAAGATGGTTGAAGTCTCTGCCAGCTCACTCCATTACCACTTGGGATGAGTACAAGGCCGCTTCATCAACCACTTCTACACCAAGCAAAGATCAGTTTCTGTAAGGAACAAGATCTCCAACTTTCGCCATGAGCCACTAAGGAGTACATTAGGGACTGCCCTAATCATGGTTTCAATGAGGGAAACCTATGGAATATCTTCTATCGTGGCATAGACCACAAGTACAAGCTTTCATTGGATACTGCAAGCAATGGAAACTTCATGACCAAGACAATTGATGAAGCTAAGGTTCTTATTGAGAATCTTGCAGCTAGTGATTGTAACAATTGTCCTGATTATGATCGCTCAAGCCGCACCACTACTAGCTCCCCTGATTCTTTCTCAAATGCTGAACTCAAGAACATGATGGCTCAAGTTCTTAAGGGACAGCTCAAGCATATCAATGCAATAGAAGGGATGAGTGATGCGAATGAAGACCCATCAAGAGAATGCATGGGAGATTTCTCTAATGAAGCTAATGAAGAAGATGTGAACTACATTGGAAACTATGGGAACAAGGGATACAATCCAAGCTATCGCCCAAACCCCAACATGTCTTATAGAAACCCCAATGTGGAGAACCCTCAAGACCAAGTGTATCCTCCAAGATACCCACAACAACAAAGACCTCCTTACCAATCTCAAGGAAGTCAATTTCAGCCAAGGCAAGGGATATGAGCAGCGAACATCATATCCGCCCAAGGAGCCATATGCTTCTTGAAGCTTCTCTTCCCAAAGGACCTTATTGATAAAAATCTAGAAGGATTCAAGGAGAAAGTTACAAGAACTCTACAACTTTTTCCTAAGGCATTTGTGCCAAGGGACATTCATGGAGAGATTGTCAAACCCATCCTCTCTCGCACAAGCGATGGCAAGAGGATTAGGGGAGACAGGTCCAACACAGAAAATTTGATGCCCTTCCTAGATCACCTCCTCACCTACAAGGTCAAATGGACCAAATTTGGGAACCGGAAGAGGTAAGGAGTCCGAAATGTACCTCTGTGCCTCCACATTGTGGAAACTCACTTGTAGTGTATAAATGGAACTAGATGGACCCATACTTACCCAAACATGGATTAATAGGTTCTCCACATTACTATGAGGACAAACATGAGTGAAACGGTCTCAATCCAAGGGAGGAACATCAAATGGACCAAATTTGGGAACCGGAAGAGGTAAGGAGTCCGAAATGTACCTCTGTGCCTCCACATTGTGGAAACTCACTTGTAGTGTATAAGATGAACTAGATGGACCCATACTTACCCAAACATGGATTAATAGGTTCTCCACATTACTATGAGGACAAACATGAGTGAAACGGTCTCAATCCAAGGGAGGAACATCAAATGGACCAAATTTGGGAACCGGAAGAGGTAAGGAGTCCGAAATGTACCTCTGTGCCTCCACATTGTGGAAACTCACTTGTAGTGTATAAGATGAACTAGATGGACCCATACTTACCCAAACATGGATTAATAGGTTCTCCACATTACTATGAGGACAAACATGAGTGAAACGGTCTCAATCCAAGGGAGGAACATCAAATGGACCAAATTTGGGAACCGGAAGAGGTAAGGAGTCCGAAATGTACCTCTGTGCCTCCACATTGTGGAAACTCACTTGTAGTGTATAAGATGAACTAGATGGACCCATACTTACCCAAACATGGATTAATAGGTTCTCCACATACTATGAGGACAAACATGAGTGAAACGGTCTCAATCCAAGGGAGGAACATCAAATGGACCAAATTTGGGAACCGGAAGAGGTAAGGAGTCCGAAATGTACCTCTGTGCCTCCACATTGTGGAAACTCACTTGTAGTGTATAAGATGAACTAGATGGACCCATACTTACCCAAACATGGATTAATAGGTTCTACACATTACTATGAGGACAAACATGAGTGAAACGGTCTCAATCCAAGGGAGGAACATCAAATGGACCAAATTTGGGAACCGGAAGAGGTAAGGAGTCCGAAATGTACCTCTGTGCCTCCACATTGTGGAAACTCACTTGTAGTGTATAAGATGAACTAGATGGACCCATACTTACCCAAACATGGATTAATAGGTTCTCCACATTACTATGAGGACAAACATGAGTGAAACGGTCTCAATCCAAGGGAGGAACATCAAATGGACCAAATTTGGGAACCGGAAGAGGTAAGGAGTCCGAAATGTACCTCTGTGCCTCCACATTGTGGAAACTCACTTGTAGTGTATAAGATGAACTAGATGGACCCATACTTACCCAAACATGGATTAATAGGTTCTACACATTACTATGAGGACAAACATGAGTGAAACGGTCTCAATCCAAGGGAGGAACATCAAATGGACCAAATTTGGGAACCGGAAGAGGTAAGGAGTCCGAAATGTACCTCTGTGCCTCCACATTGTGGAAACTCACTTGTAGTGTATAAGATGAACTAGATGGACCCATACTTACCCAAACATGGATTAATAGGTTCTCCACATTACTATGAGGACAAACATGAGTGAAACGGTCTCAATCCAAGGGAGGAACATCAAATGGACCAAATTTGGGAACCGGAAGAGGTAAGGAGTCCGAAATGTACCTCTGTGCCTCCACATTGTGGAAACTCACTTGTAGTGTATAAGATGAACTAGATGGACCCATACTTACCCAAACATGGATTAATAGGTTCTCCACATGACTATGAGGACAAACATGAGTGAAACGGTCTCAATCCAAGGGAGGAACATCAAATGGACCAAATTTGGGAACCGGAAGAGGTAAGGAGTCCGAAATGTACCTCTGTGCCTCCACATTGTGGAAACTCACTTGTAGTGTATAAGATGAACTAGATGGACCCATACTTACCCAAACATGGATTAATAGGTTCTACACATGACTATGAGGACAAACATGAGTGAAACGGTCTCAATCCAAGGGAGGAACATCAAATGGACCAAATTTGGGAACCGGAAGAGGTAAGGAGTCCGAAATGTACCTCTGTGCCTCCACATTGTGGAAACTCACTTGTAGTGTATAAGATGAACTAGATGGACCCATACTTACCCAAACATGGATTAATAGGTTCTACACATGACTATGAGGACAAACATGAGTGAAACGGTCTCAATCCAAGGGAGGAACATCAAATGGACCAAATTTGGGAACCGGAAGAGGTAAGGAGTCCGAAATGTACCTCTGTGCCTCCACATTGTGGAAACTCACTTGTAGTGTATAAGATGAACTAGATGGACCCATACTTACCCAAACATGGATTAATAGGTTCTACACATTGACTATGAGGACAAACATGAGTGAAACGGTCTCAATCCAAGGGAGGAACATCAAATGGACCAAATTTGGGAACCGGAAGAGGTAAGGAGTCCGAAATGTACCTCTGTGCCTCCACATTGTGGAAACTCACTTGTAGTGTATAAGATGAACTAGATGGACCCATACTTACCCAAACATGGATTAATAGGTTCTACACATGACTATGAGGACAAACATGAGTGAAACGGTCTCAATCCAAGGGAGGAACATCAAATGGACCAAATTTGGGAACCGGAAGAGGTAAGGAGTCCGAAATGTACCTCTGTGCCTCCACATTGTGGAAACTCACTTGTAGTGTATAAGATGAACTAGATGGACCCATACTTACCCAAACATGGATTAATAGGTTCTCCACATGACTATGAGGACAAACATGAGTGAAACGGTCTCAATCCAAGGGAGGAACATCAAATGGACCAAATTTGGGAACCGGAAGAGGTAAGGAGTCCGAAATGTACCTCTGTGCCTCCACATTGTGGAAACTCACTTGTAGTGTATAAGATGAACTAGATGGACCCATACTTACCCAAACATGGATTAATAGGTTCTCCACATTACTATGAGGACAAACATGAGTGAAACGGTCTCAATCCAAGGGAGGAACATCAAATGGACCAAATTTGGGAACCGGAAGAGGTAAGGAGTCCGAAATGTACCTCTGTGCCTCCACATTGTGGAAACTCACTTGTAGTGTATAAGATGAACTAGATGGACCCATACTTACCCAAACATGGATTAATAGGTTCTCCACATTACTATGAGGACAAACATGAGTGAAACGGTCTCAATCCAAGGGAGGAACATCAAATGGACCAAATTTGGGAACCGGAAGAGGTAAGGAGTCCGAAATGTACCTCTGTGCCTCCACATTGTGGAAACTCACTTGTAGTGTATAAGATGAACTAGATGGACCCATACTTACCCAAACATGGATTAATAGGTTCTCCACATTACTATGAGGACAAACATGAGTGAAACGGTCTCAATCCAAGGGAGGAACATCAAATGGACCAAATTTGGGAACCGGAAGAGGTAAGGAGTCCGAAATGTACCTCTGTGCCTCCACATTGTGGAAACTCACTTGTAGTGTATAAGATGAACTAGATGGACCCATACTTACCCAAACATGGATTAATAGGTTCTCCACATTACTATGAGGACAAACATGAGTGAAACGGTCTCAATCCAAGGGAGGAACATCAAATGGACCAAATTTGGGAACCGGAAGAGGTAAGGAGTCCGAAATGTACCTCTGTGCCTCCACATTGTGGAAACTCACTTGTAGTGTATAAATGAACTAGATGGACCCATACTTACCCAAACATGGATTAATAGGTTCTCCACATTACTATGAGGACAAACATGAGTGAAACGGTCTCAATCCAAGGGAGGAACATCAAATGGACCAAATTTGGGAACCGGAAGAGGTAAGGAGTCCGAAATGTACCTCTGTGCCTCCACATTGTGGAAACTCACTTGTAGTGTATAAGATGAACTAGATGGACCCATACTTACCCAAACATGGATTAATAGGTTCTCCACATTACTATGAGGACAAACATGAGTGAAACGGTCTCAATCCAAGGGAGGAACATCAAATGGACCAAATTTGGGAACCGGAAGAGGTAAGGAGTCCGAAATGTACCTCTGTGCCTCCACATTGTGGAAACTCACTTGTAGTGTATAAATGAACTAGATGGACCCATACTTACCCAAACATGGATTCATAGGTTCTCCACATTACTATGAGGACAAACATGAGTGAAACGGTCTCAATCCAAGGGAGGAACATCAAATGGACCAAATTTGGGAACCGGAAGAGGTAAGGAGTCCGAAATGTACCTCTGTGCCTCCACATTGTGGAAACTCACTTGTAGTGTATAAATGGAACTAGATGGACCCATACTTACCCAAACATGGATTCATAGGTTCTCCACATTACTATGAGGACAAACATGAGTGAAACGGTCTCAATCCAAGGGAGGAACATCAAATGGACCAAATTTGGGAACCGGAAGAGGTAAGGAGTCCGAAATGTACCTCTGTGCCTCCACATTGTGGAAACTCACTTGTAGTGTATAAGATGAACTAGATGGACCCATACTTACCCAAACATGGATTAATAGGTTCTCCACATTACTATGAGGACAAACATGAGTGAAACGGTCTCAATCCAAGGGAGGAACATCAAATGGACCAAATTTGGGAACCGGAAGAGGTAAGGAGTCCGAAATGTACCTCTGTGCCTCCACATTGTGGAAACTCACTTGTAGTGTATAAGATGAACTAGATGGACCCATACTTACCCAAACATGGATTAATAGGTTCTCCACATTACTATGAGGACAAACATGAGTGAAACGGTCT